TCTAGAGATATTTTGTAAGACTGATATAATGGTTTGTTATTCGTTCTGATTAGGGAAGATATTGAGGCGTACCTTTAGTTAGGCATAGGGAGCGCCCGAAGGTTTCTCATCAGAGAGGTGAAGCTCACTTTTAGACTATTAAATTAGACATTATTTTTAAAAGCTAACTTGTAGGATACCATCAAGGCTGAAAAAATTGTACTTAAAAAGGAGGTAATGCTTAGATAGCGCCCACCATCCGGTGCCCAAACTTTTAAAAAACATATCTTAAATCGAGGTAAATTTCTAGAAGTTAATTTCAGTTGTATGTATATCTAAGTTTCAGATGTTTAATAACTATATTATTCTTCATCTTTTACATTTAATTATTCTATTAAATATTCAATGTGCTGGAAGGATTGTTCCTGCAGAAGTGAAAATTATAAATGATTGGGAAGGAAAAAGAGAATTTATTTATTTAAAAAATGTCGAACAAAAGGATCGTTTTGTGTTGAAAACAATTGAAAAAAATAATAATAAATATGTTAGCCAAAAGCATAATATAAAGGATTTTTTGTGTCCAATTAACTTTGACGCTGCTAAAAATATTTTTGACACTTCAACAAGTACTGATTCATCATATCGTCCAGCTATTCAATTAAAAAACAAAATTTTGATTGAGATTGCCAATAATCAGATTATTCAAAATCTTTTGCCTGAATTTGAAAAACGGGTATTTTATATTTTTTGTTATTAGGGATATTATATATGTACGATGTTCATGCAGTGGAAAAATTCATTGGATGGGAAATGGAATAGAACCATCATGGAATGAGATCGAAGCACAACAGACTGTGCCATCATTTAACCCAATGTTGGGTTATTTATTATCGTTTATGTTCATCCTGCAAAGAAAAACTCAAGTGGTAGTACACAACAAAGGATACAGAAGTAGTTCAATCTTGCAGACTCCCAATAATATGTATACAAAGTTCAAAAATAAATAGGATTTTAGCATCTACTACCAATTAGAGTTTTTCTTTTATTTTTTCTTCTCTCTTATGTACTTTTTAAGATACTCCAAAATAATAATTTTGATAAGACGAATAAAAAACAGTATGAAACCTCTATATTGGATGAGAATTTAGATAACACAAAAAAATTCAAAGATTTGAACTCAATAAAGGAAAATTATGAAAACAAACTTTTATCAAGTTATTGGTCAGAAATTAATTTAATTGCATATAAAATTGAATTATTAAAAAAACAAAAAGTTGAATATTCGAAAGAAGAAAAGAAAATTGTTTATATTGGCAATAAAATAAGTAAAATTTTATTTTTGATTGTAACTTCGGATATCCTGCTAAGAAGAAACCTTCACGAATATTTCAAACTTTTTAAAATAAAAAAACAAAGCATATTTTTTCCGTTGCAAAAGTTTATCTACGCCTAACATATAAATTAGATTTGTACATAAGGAAATGCCAGAAAAAAATTAGAAAAGTTCACGGGATATTTCAATTTATATTATAATTAGAAAAGATAAAAGAACAAAGTCTATATATGATTTACTCGTCTAATTCTTAAAAAAATTTTTTTTGGTTGGTGTAAAGAGAATTTTGCATCCAAATGTAATCTTAATTATTATAGGCGAAATTAACGAAGGAAAAGAACGGCATTGTTTTAATTGTTTGGTTAAGAAAACCTCACAATGGTATAATTATTTAAAAGGAAAATATTTGTGCTATACGTGTTCTGCATATCGACGTAGACATAATGGAAATCTTAGATCACAAGAATTGTTGTTTAAAATTAAAAAGGTTATCCAAAAAATATTTAAAATATTAACTTAATTTTTTATTATTTTTCTAAAAATAAAAAATTCAAATATACTTTCTTTAGCGAATTCCAATCAAAGATCGTCAATGCTATATTTGTAAATCCACAAAATGGGTTAATTACCGTGATTCAGAATCTGGAAATTATTTATGTACTTCCTGTTACAGGAAACGATATCATGAAAAGAAAACAAATAAAAATTTAGAAGAAAAGGAATCTAATAAATAAATAGAGACAATTCAGAAAATTTTTAAAAAATTTAAAGGGAATATTTTCAGTTCCAAAAAATTGAGTTACAAAATAACGACAATTAAATACTCTCCATTATCTAATATTTACAATATTTTTTAAAAATATTTTTAATTATCTTTTTCTCTAAAATATTTAAACAATTTACCTATTTACTAAAATTTCTTTTATATTTTTCTATTTCTTTTTCCATCTTCATCCATTTCTGTTGGTATCAGGGATCAAGCCGAAATAAAAATTTAATTCCCGATTTTCGGGAATCGGGTCGGCTAAATCCCTGGTTGGTATATTTAATGGAACAAGTCTTCGATAACATAAAAGCCAAAAGAGAATCATTATACCAACTTCAATGGATTCCATTATCCAAATTGTTCTTGGCCCGTATGTTCGATAAAGATAAATTTAAATAATTTTAAAAATTTTATATTAAAAAAGTTGAAGATTTTGTGAAAAATGTAGAAAAATTTAGTTCAAAATTGGGTTAATTTAAAATTTGTTTTAAATTTAAAAAAATTGGTTTAAAAAATTGGTGTTTTTGGTTTTGTCATTTTTATTCAATTCAAAAAAGATTAAGATATGTATTAACGAAATTATGATCCAACGGCGCTAAGGAACAAAAGCTAGCTATCCAACTCTAACATTTTTTACCCAATTTTCATAGAATTTTAATCGAAAAATTAAAGCAAGTAAAACAACCTTTTCTTTACTAGTTTTTAAAAGATATATTTGTTCTTTGAAGTAACAGAATTAATTCAAGAACGGGGGATTGAGTAAAGGAAAGTGTAAACAAGAGAACAAAAGATTTTTGTGTTTATCTAGTCTTTTGAGATTAAAAAAAGAAACAATAACTACATATAAAATAAATAAATTATACAATACAAAGGTTGGTCACTGAGCAATAAAACAATTAAAAAAGACAATAGATACCTAGTTGAATGAAAAAACAAAAAGGAGGATGATCGGAATACGTGTAAAAAAAGTAAAGGAAAAATAAGAAGAATTTCTGAGAGATGTTCTTCTTCATCTTAAATAACAATTGATCCCATTTAACGTTAAAATCAAAAATTGTGTCCCTCAACAATAATATTTCTGTGGCCAATGACTTGGCTAAAATCTATAGCCTTAATTCTTTTAATAATTAATTTGGTTAGATCTTGTTGTGATTGTTGTGGCTGTGGATGTTGTGGAGGTGGATATGGATGCAGTAATTTAATTGGCTCGTTAGGCGGTCTTTGTCCTCCAGGATTAATTGGAGCTAATTCTTTGAGTTTACTAATTTTTTTAATTTTAAATATTTTTTTAATGTTTAAAGGTCTAGTAGGAAGTTGTGTAGGTGGAGGCTGTGGAGGTGGATGTTGTGATTGTTGTTGTGGAGGATGTGGGGGTGGTGGTTGTGGCTGCCCAATAGGACTTAGCGCAGCTGGAGGACTTGGAGGAACTCTTGGAGGTCTGTGCCCTCCAGGTCTAATAGGTGGTGGAATTGGTGGAGGTCTGGGAGGGTTGGGCGGTCTTGGAGGTCTTGGAGGTGGTCTAGGCGGATTGGGAGGCGGATTAGCTGGTTTGGGTGGATTGGGTATGCAATTTCAATCCTTAAAAGTTTAAAGATGACTTTTGTCCAAAAGATGGTTTGGAAGCTGGCGGATTAGGCAATACAGCACTCGGAGCTGGATTGGGACTTGGAGGAACGGGATTGGGTGTTAACGGTTTCCTGCCTGATGGATCTATTCCCGGTGTTGGATTAATTGGAAGGAAGAGAAGGAAAAGAAGGAGAACTACAGGAATTGGAAATTTAAAGATTAAGAATCAAAGCAGTGATGATGATGACAGTAGTGGTAGTAGATAAATATCGGTATATTAAATTACTAAATAAAAATATTTTTGTTTAATATATTTTTGTTTAATGTATCTTTTTGGATTGGAAAATTTCTCAAACATCTACAAATTATTTTTCAATTTTTAAAATTATTTTTAAATTTTCTACTTTCGATTTAGCGAGAATGTCAATTTCAAAACCGAAATTATTAGAAACAAGAGTTTCATTGGGCAAGTATCTTTCTAGACGTTATATCCAATTCAAAATAATTTTTAATCTACTGCGCTATATTTCCAAAATTTTGAAAAAAAGTGAACTAAGAAAGTGAAATTATGGATTCTTAAAATGGATATTGAATTAGAAAAATTTCCCAATATTTTTTCTTTTAACACCAACCTCGAACTTCGATATTGCAGCTCTTAAAAATTAAACATTCCTCACAGATTGAGGTTGTTAGGGCTGGTTTGGTCAGTGCCAGAGACCAGCTCCGAAAAACTATTCTATCTAAAAAATGTAATTAATATTTGTAAATATGTATATGAATTCTAAGCAAATCCCCTTTCAAACTGAAAAAAATTTTCGCCTGCGGCGCAATAACAGTATATAATCTGTGACATAGTTTATATAGAACGGGATCTGAGAAATGAGAAATATTTGTTTTTTGATCAGGGTAACCATCTCCAAATCACTAAAATAGGGCGCTGTAGCTTGATCATGAAGCTAAATATAAATATCTAGCTTGAGAGAAAACAATCCAATTTTTAAATTACTAAATAAAACTGCAAAATTTCAATAGCTTTAAATTAATAGAAATTTTTTAAAAAAATTAAAAAAAAGAACATATTTTTATTTTCAAAAATCATTAATATTTAATCAGTTTTATTCAAAAAATGTTCAAAAAAGTTTGACAATTTATAGCAAGTTCCACCCATTGGATAATGCTTAAATTGATGAGAAAGCATTAACCTAAGTGCATATTCATTTTCAATACTACGACAAATTAGTCGGCTACATTCAGCCAATCTTTGAGCCCCTTCAATTAAGCCTAATCTTCGTTGATTATATCGAAGTAAAATTTGTGTGTATTTATTGGATTCGTCTAAAAGTAATTCTTTTCCTTCAGCAGACAAGTCTTTAGCATCTTTTTATGAAAAAATTTAGGGCAACTTAAATTAATTTAAAAAAAGCTCAAGTACAGAGTAAAAACCGGGTTATCCGCAATCACGCACCGAAAATTGAGGAAATTCGGCTTATTAAGCTTCCAAATTTTCCAAAATTTTCGCCAGGTGCGCTAAATCTGTGTTTACATCTTAAAGGGAATTTAGCAGGAATATCTAGGGATCACAAGTTCTTTTTTTTCTAGGGATCACGAGTTTGAAGCCAAACCAAAAATAAGAATAGGAACCGAATCACTGGCACCGCTTATGACCTTTACAAATCAGGGATTTTCGGATCCGCTCAATCATGATACGGTCTACAGTTTACGCATACAGTTGGTGGTCCATGGCATAGAGTTCCGGCATAGGGGACCTCCCTTAATCCATCCAAATTCTTTGATATACTCCGCCCGGCAGAGGTAATTATATGAGAGAGGGTAATTATTTCAGCATACATATACGGTATTCGCCTTCACAAATTAAAGTTTTTACTTGATTTTGTAAGAATAATAGCTATTAACAAAGCAAATTCAACTTTTTTTAATGCAGCACGTTTAAAGTAAGCAACAGATTTTGTAAATGAGTAATCTGTCCATTTAATCATTCTAAAAATTAAAAAAATATTTTTCATATCTTCTCAATCAAAAATTTTTTTGAAATTTTTTTTTTATAATTTTATTGATAAAAATTTATTTACTT